AAAGTCCCTTTCATCACCCACATACAACAGATAACAGAGTTTTATGTATTCTGCGCCATCTCTCAGTAAATTCAACATAGTCAGTTTTCCCTCCAGAGTTGGAACAGATGGCCATGGCTGTTTCTTTGGTTGAGTACCAGATGAAGTAGTTGGCTTGAATTTAAGAGCCATATTGTAGGGGGGAAATTACATATCTATGTATATATTCATCTGTATTATTTCCTTTTGCTAAGCATATACTTGAATTCCAGCAACTTAAATGTTTGTGTACGATAACTCCATTGTACCATTTGATCTTCAGCGCTGTCAAATCCTTTTCTTTGCTTATTATGGATCCAAGGCCTGGTAAGCGGAACGGGGTCGAAAATAACCCTGTAGGGTCACTGCATAGTTGGCATGACCAATTAGAAGAATGTCAACCATAATGATTTTCCAAATTAGAAAAATTCCTTTCAGCTGGGTGCAGTGGCTCATGCCTGTAATCCCAACACTTTGGGAGGCTGAGGTGGGCAGATCCCTTGAGGCCAGGAGTTTGAGACCAGCCTGACCAACATGGTTAAACCCTATCTCTACTAAAAATACAAAAATTAGCCAGGTGTCATGGCAGGCACCTGTAATCCCAGCTGCTCGGGAGGCAGAGGCATAAGAATCACTTGAACCCGGGAGGCTGAGGTTGCGATTAGCCAAGATTATGCCACTGCACTCCAGCCTGGGCAACAGAGAGAGACCTTGTCTCAAAAAAAAAAAAAAAATCCCTTTAACTAAATTGAATACAGACTCTAAACCCCTACAGAAAGAATCAAAGGCATGTATGGAGTGCCCACTATATGCTGACTACTTGCTGCTTTGTGTATATTGTCTCATTGAGCGGCCTCGTAGCAACCCATTGAAGAAGGTACTCTAATCCCCATGACCCAGCTGTGATTCTCCACAGCAGTCAGGCAGGCATGCAGGCTTGGCTATTGCCTGAAAGAACACACTCAGCCATAGCCATTGACGGAGACACTCTGAGCCCAGCGCTGTATGGTGCTAACATTCCTGTCCTCTTCCCATAGGTTGTCTTTTAGACCACACCAGCTCTGCCTTGCAGGGGTGCTTAGAGACCTCTTTCCCCACTCCACAAACGTAACTGGAGTATTTATCTATAAAGAAAATGTTAAGAGCAAATCACCTTGTTCCATGAGTTCTGCATAGTGGTACTCACTTTATTGGTGGAGTTGGAAAATTTTAAATTCCATTTTAGTGTGAATTTATGAATTACTTACAAATGACCTTATTTAAGGGATGGAAGGAATCATGATCATTTACTATGTTTCTTTTATTTTTTCTTTTATTTACTTATTTATCTATTTTGAGACAGAGACTCACTCTGTTGCCCAGGCTAGAGTACAGCGGCATGATATCTGCCCACTGCAACCTCTGCCTCTTGGGTTCAACTGATTCTCCCACCTCGGCCTCCCAGGTAGCTGGGATTACAGGTGCACACCACCATGCCTAGCTAATTTTTGTATTTTTAGTAGAGATAGGGTTTCACCATGTTGGCCAGGCTGGTGTTGAACTCCTGGCCTCAAGTGATCCACCTGACTTAGCCTCCTACAGTGCTGGGATTACAGGCCTGAGCAACTGCACCCAGCCTACTACATTTCTCTTTTGAACATGTTCTCTACTTAGTGTCCTAGTTTCTACATTGGACAAATTCTTTGTTTCAGCCAGCTCCCAATGAAAGAACTATGACTACAGCACCATTGCTTCAGACAAGCAGCACCGGAATAGTCCAGCTTGTTCATTTTTTTTTTTTTAAGAGACAGAGTTTCACTCTGTTACCCATGCTAGAATGCAGTGGTGTAATCATGGCTCACTCCCCCAGGTTCAAGTGATCCTCCTCCTCAGCTTCACAAGTAGCTGGAACCACATGTGCACCTGAGCACGTCTGGTTAATATTTCATTTTTTTGTAGCACAAGACTCCCTATGTTGCCTAGGCTGGTCTGTAACTCCTGGCCTCAAGCGATTCTCCTGCCTCAGCCTCTCAAAGTGCTGGGATTACAGGTGTGAGCCACTGTGCTGGTCTCTTGCTCATTTTTTTACACTTCCTCATGTGTTTCCTCATCAGCTTCTTTAAGTATCATAATTTCTTTCATGTCTCCAAAAATCATATTTAAATATTGGTCATAGACCTGGTCCATGCTGCCAATGTCTAAACCTTCTAACATTTTCCTTTCCTTTCTTTTCTATCCCCTCTTCCTCAAGAACCTGGCTTCATTGTACCACTGGTCACTGGATTTAAATTAAGGACAAAAGACTCAAGTTGGTCACTCTGGTAAAGATGAGGAAGAAGCAAGAGGGAGAAGGAGGCAGAGACGTGATAATTCTGCATCTTACATTTATATATAATGACAGTAGTTCTTGGGAACTTTAAGCAGCTTTTCCTGTTACCCAACTAGAAGGTAGCAGAGCTAGAAGTTGAGCCTGGGTCAGTGAGGCTCCAAATCCCCTACTGTTTCCATTACATCACACTACTTTCCATAAGCAGCAAAATCTCATTAAACGCAGGTATGGGGTAACAATGATGGGCTGACTTTGCATGAATAGATGGAATCATAAGGAATTCACTAAATAGGTCTGCATGTGTGACTTTGGAAAGAAGGCAGACTAAATGAAGGACTTTCTTCAGATCATCAACACTGTGAATGACAAAGCTTTGCTCTGTATCATGTTGGACATTGTGGGACCACGCTAGATGTTTTGAAGAACACACAAAGCATCCTGTAACACTGCACTCAAGGGACTTAGAGTCTAGGTGAAGGAAAAAAATCAGGCAGCGAGCACACTCAAACTAGATAATTAAGGTGAGTTTAAGGGACTAATTTACTTATAAAGATGCGGGTGGGCTGGGCACAGTGGCTCACGCCTATAATCGCAGCACTTCGGGAGGCTGAGGTGGGTGGATCACAAGGTCAGGAGTTTGAGACAAGCCTGGCCAATATGGTGAAACCCCCTCTCTACTAAAAATACCAAAATTAGCCAGGCGTGGTGGCTGGCACCTGTACTCCCAGCTACTCGGGAGACTGAGGCAGGAGAATGGCTTGAAACCAGGAGGTGGAGGTTGCAGTGAGCCGAGATCGCACCACTGCACTCCAGCCTGGGTGACAGAGCAAGACTCCGTCTCACAAAAAAAAAAAAAAAAAAAAAAAAAAAAAAAAGGATGTGGGTGAGGTTTACGGAATTGGAAAAGAAAGACGCAGTACCCTGGGTTCTAGCAACAGTAGGGTTTGGTTACCCATGCCTCCAAAACATGCAGGGGAAAGGGGAAGGAACAGAGTACAGCTGCATGAAGAGGGAGGGACACACTCCTCTTTCAGGGGCTGTGATCTTCAGTAAAGGGAAGCAACCAACCCATGGTGACACACCAAGGAGGGAGCCATAGTAATAAATACCTCAATCTCACCGTCTCCACTCTTCAGTCTCCTGGTGATGCTTCCCGTTAGCTAACCCCAACCAGAAGCTAGAGGGAAGCATTGATTCCACCTGAAAAGACCAGTCCCCTAGTTACAGCAAAAAATGAGAAAAAGTAAAAATGAATCTGAAAGGGCAATTTTATAAACTTTAATTTCTAGAATAAATTAAAAGGTAGCTTTATAAATTGATACACCATTTAAGTGTATTGTGAAGGTTGCAAATTACAAGAGTATTCCTGTAAATCATTTTGTGAAATATACCTTCATGCATTTTCAATTCACGGTATCCTTTATTTTGTTTTATTTTTTATTTTTTTAAGAGATGGAGCCTCGCTCTGTTGCTCAGAGTAGAGTACAGTGTCTATTCACAAGTGTAATTACAGTTCATTGCATACTTAAACTCCTGGGTCCAAGGAATCCTCCTGCCTCAGTCTTCCAAGTAGCTAGGACTACAGGCATGTGCCACTATGCCTGGCCACAGCATCATTTTAATATATCCTGATGTTGTCTTATGGGTTAGTTTCATGTAAAATTTGCCCAAATTAAATGTTGAGATAGACTGGCTTCCTGGCTTACCCGGAGTGAGAGGTGAAGTGAGCTAAAATCTTCTGAATTGAGCACATTTCAGTTGCATTGTATAAGCAACGTTTTTGCTCATTTTTTTTTCCATTGCATAACTTTATTCCACTCCCTCAGATTTTTCTCCACGCCTTTTTCCATCATTTTTTCGTATCTCCCTTTCTTCCATTTTTACTCTCTCCTTCTTTCCTCCAATAAAAAGGGCTTCTTGGCTCACACCTCCATCAACAGACGCTTGGAAATAATGCACTATGGCAGGTTTTCAAATATTTTTTCTTTCCTCCCTCCAGAGAGAAAAACAAAAGGGTAAAGATGGCTTGAGGGATTGGATCAGAACATTGTTTTACTGGAATTTGCAGCTGTTTCTGGATTGCAGAAGTCACTGGAGGGAAACAATGTGCTCAGGGACTGAAGGAAATGGTTTGGCTCCAGTCTGTCCAAGTCATCTGGGGAGGAATTTTTTCATTGTTACAAAGGTTGCTACTCCACAAAGATTTTGCATCTCTCTACAGAGAGTGTGTGTCTGAGGAGAGGCTTGGGAAATTCACATAGGATGGGAACAAAAAAGGGACAACGTAAAATGCTGGTGAAAGGCAAAGTCAGAAAAATAACTGACCTTTGGTCAGGACACAGACCATTTTCTGAGTTCTGGCCTAGACTTGCAGTTCATGAAAGATTCAACCTTTATTTCTTATAGTCTAAGGGCTAGGTGAGCCAATGAGATTTTCCTTTTTTACCAAGCAGGCAAAATGAAGATGGGCTTTATATAGACAGGTGGATCCAGTAATAAATGAATGAGAGACTCATTTGGCTTCTCATTGATGAAAAGCTGGATTTATGTGCTTGAGTACTGCTGGCTCCATATCTACATGGAACAAATAAATCTGTACACACCTTTGCACTCCTATGTATGCATTAATGATACTGTTTGAAGAGGCCTCTGGAACTGTGTGTTTTCTTTCCAGGGTGCTCTTCCTGCCATGCATCCTGTCATCCCTACGGAAGGAGCCTGTAGAACACCTGCAGTTAGGCAGAGATCAGGCTAGGTGGGTAACTGCGGTCTCCTACACACCTACCAATGCTCATTCCAGCTCCTCGTGGTAGGTGTTCCTCTTTACTTTTAGGTTCACATATATTCTTCCTTATTTTTTTTTAAGAAAGTTACTGTATGGATTGAAAGCTGTCCCTACCAAAAGATGTTGACATACCAACCCCCAGTACCTGTGAAGGTGACCTTATTTGAAAATGGGGTCTTTGCAGATGATCAAGTTAAGATGAGGTCACTAGGTCAGGCTCTAACTCAGTGTGACTGATGCCCTTACAAAAAGAGGAAATTTAGACACAGACAGACATGCACGGAGAGAGTACAACGTGAAAACAGAGAAAAGACGGCCATCTACAAACCAAGGAATACCTGAGGCTACAGAAGCAAGGAGAGAGACGAGGAACAGCTTCTCCCTCACAGTCCTCAGAAGAGACCAACCCTACCAACACTTTGATTTCAGACTTTCAGCCTCCAGAACTGTGAAGCACATTTCTGTTGTTTAAGCCACCAGTTTGTGGTACTGTGTTTTGGCAGTCTCAGGAAACAAATACAGTTACGTTTGATAAAAATCTTCTGGTACAATCTTATTTCTCTAACCACGAAACTGAAGTTCAACAAATAAAATGACTTATGCAGTTGTGGAGCCAGTTGGTGGACAGGACTCTAAATTCCCAGGTCATTCCTCTATCTATTGCTATAACTGGTGTGATTTGGATAAATCACAACATCAGGCTTCTACCATTAGATCAAGAGGATGGAGCAGCTTCATTCCTATCTTTTTTTTTTTTTTTTTTTATGAGACGGAGTTGGAATCTCGCTCTGTCGCCTGCAGTGGCCGGATCTCAGCTCACTGCAAGCTCCACCTCTCCGGTTTATGCCATTCTCCTGCCTCAGCCTCCCGAGTAGCTGGGACTACAGGCGCCCGCCACCTTCCTGTCTTGTAATATACACACTACTAGACTTTAACAGTTTAAGGCAAGACTTTGGCATTATTAACGTCAAGTGGGTATGCTTCTCCGTATTTTCAGTGTCAATGGACTTTGCTTACACTCTCTGGCTCATCTTTTTGCTTTGTTTTGTTTTTGTTTTTTTAGAGGGAGTTTAGCTGTGTTACCCAGGCTGGAGTGCAGTGATGCGATCTCAGCTCACTGCAACCTCCGCCTCCCAGGTTCAAGCAATTCTCTGTCTCAGCCTCCCGAGTAGCTGGGACTACAGGCACATGCCACCATGCCTGGTTAATTTTTGTATTTTTAGTAGAGACAGGGTTTTGCCATGTTGGCCAGGCTGATCTTGAACTCCTGACCTAAGGTGATCCACCCCACTTCGGCCTCCCAAAGTACTGGGATTACAAACTTTAGCCACTGCGCCCAGCCTCACTATCTTATCTTTTAAAAAGCCATAGGAGCTTGAAGAGATTGCTAGCCAGGTTACGTAGCCAAGTTACACCTTATATGTAAAAAGAGCTGGGGCGCTTATTGGGAAAGTCAAGGACAATTTCATCTACATCTGGTCATTTCTCTTACAAAAATCTAAAGTTCTGGTGAAGCTATTGGAGCTCCCTGGGCCAGGCAAAGTTGTGACAGGTGAGAGGTACAGAGTATGTGTCCTATTTGCAAGCTGTTGGTGACAGAGAGCTTCTCTGCTCCTGTGTCTTCACAGCTATAAAATAACTGGTTGTTATCTTTGGAGAAGGAAAGAACTCAGCCTGCCTGCCTGCTACGGTTTGAATGTTTGTCCTCTCCAAAACTCATGTGGAAATTCAATTGCCAATGTAATGATATTGGGAGGTGGGGCCTCTAAGAGGTAATCAGGCCATGGGTGGGTTTAATGCCTTTCTAAAAGGGTTTTGGGAGTGGGTTCTCTCTCTTTTTGCTCTAGCGCTCTTCTGCCAACAACAAGTCCCCCACCCCATTCCCCAGAGAATGCAGCATTCAAGGTGCCATCTTGGAACCAGAGACTGGGTCTTCACCAGACAACAGACCTGCTGGTGCGTTGACCTTGGACTTCCCAGCCTCCAGAATTGTAAGAAACAAATTTCTCTTCTTTATAAATTACCCAGTCTTAGGTATTCTGTCATAGCAACACAAAACAGACTAAAATATTGCCTCATTTTTCTCCGGCTTCTCCTGGGGCCGAACACACTGCCTGGCACTGCCCTTTCAGTGTGGTGGACATGTTAGGGCCCGCTAAACTCTCCACACCTGACTCCCTTTCGGTCCTTAGCTGGAGTTTTCAAGGGTCAGTCTCCAAGCTTCCATCTGATATGGCGGGGGAGGCAGGGCTGGGAAGTCAGTCCTTTTGCTTCCTCTCTTTCTTTGGATGCTAGCAGAGCTCACACTTCATACACAGTTCCTAGAGGCTTCTCTGCTCACTGCTGCCAAGTAGCTGCTCCATGCTACTTGGAGGAGTGGTTAGTACAGTCATCCCTCAGTATTCATGGGGGATTGGTTCCAGGACCCCCTGTGAATACCAAAATTCACAGATGCTCAAGTCCCTGATCTAAAGTGGCAAGCACTTGCATATAACCTATGCACATCCTCCTTATACTTTGTTTTTTGTTTTTTTGTTTTGAGAGCTCACTGCAACCTCCATCTTCTGGGTTCAAGTGATTCTCATGCCTCAGCCTCCCAAGTAGCTGGGACTATAAGCATGTGCCACCACGCCCAGCTAATTTTTTGTATTTTTAGTAGAGATGGGGTTTCACCATGTTGGCCAGGCTGGTCTCAAACTCCCAACCTCAGGTGATCCACCCATCTTGGCCTCCCAAAACGCTGGGACTACAGGTGTGAGCAACCACCCCTAACCACTCCTGCATACTTTAACTCATCTCTAGAATACTTGTAATAGCTTATACAATGTAAGTGCTATGTAAATTGTTGTACTGTATTGTTTAGAGAATAATGAAAAGGAAAAAGTCTGCACATGTTCAATATGAACGCAACCATCCATTTAAAAAATTCTCGGCCGGGCGCGGTGGCTCAAGCCTGTAATCCCAGCACTTTGGGAGGCCGAGACGGGCGGATCACGAGGTCAGGAGATCAAGACCATCCTGGCTAACACAGTGAAACCCCGTCTCTACTAAAAAATACAAAACACCAGCCGGGCGAGGTGGCGGCGCCTGTAGTCCCAGCTACTCGGGAGGCTGAGACAGGAGAATGGCGGGAACCCGGGAGGCGGAGCTTGCAGTGAGCTGAGATCCGGCCACTGCACTCCAGCCTGGGCGGCAGAGCAAGACTCCGTCTCAAAAAAAAAAAATAAAATAAAATAAAATAAAAAAATAAAAAATTCTCTAGGGCTGGGCATGGTGGCTCACACCTGTAATCCCAGCACTTTGGGGGGACCAAGACAGATGGATCATGAGGTCAAGAGATCGAGACCATCCTGGCCAACATGGTAAAACCTCGTCTCTACTAAAAATACAAAAATTAGCTGGGTGTGGTGGCATGTGCCTGTAGTCCCAGCTACCGGGGAGGCTGAGGCAGGAGAATTGCTTGAACCCGGGAGGTGGAGGTTGCAGTGAGCCCAGATCACACCACTGTACTCCAGCCTGGTGACGGAGCAAGACTCCGTCTCAAAAAAAAAAAAAAATAATAATAATAATAAATAAATAAATAAATAAATAAAAATAATAAATTCTCGAATATGTTTGATCTACAGTTGGTTGAATCCATGGATGTGGAACCCATGTATACAGAAGGCCTACTGTAATTGAATTTGAACAGGGAGAGAAAGGTTTCAGGAATTAACCTTTATGCCATCATTATCTGATTTTGAGAATTATTGGGAAACACCACACACTAAAATGTTCAATTTATGTACAAGACTTTGGGCCAAAAGGACATAAATTACCAACATAATAACTGAAAGAAACAAGTTCCTAGAGAAGATTGGAATTCGTTTGCCCTCCTAGTTTTGGTCTTGTAACTTGAGAAGTGTAGAGAAATTTTAGTGAAGCAGGGAGTTAGAAAAGTAGGGAAGTAGAGAAAAGAGCTGTGTGATCTCCATCTGATCCAATCTGAACCCCTATGGCTAAATAAACATCAGCAAAGAGCTGACCCAACTGTTTAAGAGAGATTTGGTGAGATTCTGGCAACACACAGAACTTCTTCACAAAGGGCTGCATTGTGACTTTCAAAGGCCCTATGTACTTTTACCTTCTTGGGTCCTTTTCTCCATTAAAAAAAAAAAATTAAAATGGTATTTTACAATACTACATTGGTATAAAGGTGAATATACTAATATTATATATTGAAACATTCTTTGACCCTAACGTTCATTTGTTCTTCTGATTTTAAAAGAAATTAAAACTATTTCATGAGATCCTAATAGTATTGTGGGTCCTAGGTGCTGTGCCTACCGTGCCAATGGTTAAGTCAGCCCTTGTGACCCTGGCAACAAAGTGTGGCATAGAGTGAGTTAGAGAGGAGGCCCTGCTTTCAGCTTCTGCATGAAATTCAGGTTTACTCTGATAACCTCATGATAAAAAGCCTCAGGAAGCTCCAGAGATAGCACCTGTGGCACGGACTTTGGCATTCATGTGATGGATGGTGGCACAGATAAGGCTGCCCTAAGTGGTTCTAAGACCAACACACATGATCGAGTGGGAACTAAAGCAGAAGAGGACAATCAGGATGGAGAATTCATAATGACTGTGGTGACACGCTGCAGTTTTCTTATTTTGAGACATTATTCAAGGCATTTTCCTCCTGCAAGTCCTTTTATCTTCACCCTTCTCTGATGTTAACTAGCATTTATTGCTTCAGAGGACAAACGTTATGATAGAGATGTATAGAGTTTCAAAAGCTAATACTCCCCCCTTTGTTTTTATTAAAGTATAATTTGACAGTAAAAATGATCGAATTTAGCGTGCAGTTCTGTGAATTTTAACAAAAGTATATAGCAATGGAACCAGCACCATAATCAAGTTCCACCATTCCCTGCAAAGTCTCCAGTATCTCTTTGTAGTTGGCCCTTTCCCTGACCTGAGCCCCAACAACTGCAGATGTTTTCTGCTGCCATTGTTTGGCCTTTGCAAGAATATCACACTAATGGAATCCCACCATATGTAGCCTTTTGGCTCTGTCTTCTTTCACTTAGCATAACCTATTTGAGATTTCATCCATGTTGTGTGTATCAGTAGTTTGGTTCTTTTTAAAAATTGTGTAAAATATATATATAACACAAGATTTATAATTTTAACCATTTTAAGTGTACAATTCAGTGACATTAACTACATGCACATTGTTGGCACCCATCACCACCATCCATCTCCAGAACTTTTTCCTAAAATGAAACTCTGTATCCATTAAATAAACCGCTCCCCCCACCCCACCATTCCTCCCTCTCCCACTCCCGGTAAACTGGATTCTACTTTTTGTCTCCATCAATTTGTCAATGTTAATTACCTCACATAAGGGAATTATGCAATATTTGTCCTTTTGTCTCTAGCTTATCTCACTTAGCATAGTGTTTTTAAGGTTGATCCATGCTGTAGCATGTATCAGAATTTCATTCTTTCTTAAGGCTGGATAATATTCCATTGTATGCATATGCCACGTTTTGTGAATCA